AGTCCTCACTCCAGCTCCCATTTTTTGGCAGGCCCACAGATGGGGCACTGTTGTGTCAGGTGCTAGCTGCGGTGCTTTCCAAAAGTGACTCTTAAATTAACAAAGAACCATCATGTTAAATAAATAGACATACAGTGCGATGCATCTTCTCTTCCAGTCAGACTGTTTGAGTCCCAGATTTTTAGAAATACCCAGATGAACGTTAACCCAACCTTACTGGGTGTTACTTGCTGGAGGGAACAGTTGGGCTTTTTTAAAATTCTCTAACAATTATGAAGCCTTAAGGCAAGAAAACCCTTAATTTCTCAAAGTACAATTAAAGGCAAGTTTGCACCACAAGATCCTTTGTCAGACTTATGATGGATGTGAACAAACAGCTCAGCTGGTTTCTCCCCTCCACCCCAGATCAGGGAAAAGTGCTCTGCTGCCTGTCACCTCAAATATTAATGACCTTATCCAAGAAAATGAAATAAAGTGCTGCCTTTTGTTTTCTTTTATTTTTTTTTTTCTCCTTTTTTCTCCCTGTATTCACATGCTGAGTATCTGCATTCATATTTTGGTGTCTGTTACTAGCCTGAGGAATATTTCCTTGTATAACTTTGAGGGCTGGATTTTCCAGTACAGAGATGAAACACAGTTCCTCTACAAAGTCCAGCAGAGTTTTGGTGTTTATTTTCATGGGGCAAAGGCTCATGCTGGGTGTGCAGGACTGGGCACGACCTGGCAGAGGCAGCCTGCTCTGGGTTACCTTGGGCACACACCCGAAACTCACCTCGAACAGGCAAAATGCAGGCAGTACGCTTGTGATTTACCTTTTAAAACAGAGCAGGGACACTGTCATCCAGTAAAAGCAAACGTATTTCATTAACTTGCAGAGACTGGGACTGTTTGCTTCTGTATCTTCCTGGTATGTTCATACAGTGTCCAGTCTGTCAGTGCTTTTTCTCTTCTGTACTAGTGCTATCTGAAATTCAGCACTTTAGTTCTCAGTGAGTGATGCTGATTCCCTCCTGAGCTCTGATTTTCACTCTAATCTTGCTTGAAGTTTTAAAATCGATTGCTTGGTCCTGCTTCCACCTGAATAAAAGCAGCCCAAAGTTGTCAGGTAATAAGGTGTCTTCATAAAGACAGAAACAGTCTTAAATTATTTGAAATCTGTGCTAAGATGTCCGAGATGCTTGTAACTTCAACCTGAATTTTGACTCGTGACTAACATGAAGGACACCATCTTACACACATGTGACCTTCTCTCAGATTTTCTGTTTGGTTTTGTCACTGAGTGGCTCCAAAAGTTGAATTTAATCACGAGATCCACTAATCTTCTGTTTAAAGGTATGTTAAAGCCAGTTAAGCTGGCTTTAAGAAAGCCACAGAGGAAAGCTAGAAAATCAGCTAAGCAGGTCAGAAACTTTAAAGTATTAAAGCTAATTTAATTGTAAATTTAGACCAGTGGACTTCACCACTTTTAAAGTTGTATGCAGTAAAACTGGGGCTGAGGTTTCTGCAGGTACTGCCAAAGTAGGGCAGGGCAGGTGTACAGGTGGGTCCTGGTCATGTATTCACTGCTTTAGAAATCAAAAAAACCCACTGCTTAGATGGCAGATTTATTGGTGGAAGGTAAGTCAGACTCCTCCTGCATTTATACACACTTGGCTTTGCAACTAACTCACCCAAACAGATTTAATAGCGCTAAGCAGGTGGCTAATTGTTTGCAAGTCTGGGCACTAAGGTCCTTCCCCCACCAACGTCTTCCAGTATTTTTAAGCCATGACTAAATAAAAAAGGACAATTAATTTTTAATGTTTTTAAAGGTTCCCCTGTCCCGCCCCAAAAAACCACACACATCAAAACAACCAAAAACACAAACTGAAAGACCAAAAATAGACCTTCTTCTCCGGGAAGTGACATTTTCAATCATTTAATAATTTTGGGTGTTTAAAAACTGTTTATAATTGGTTCCTAATGATTCATTCCTTCACAAAACAAAACGGGAAAATGAAGTAAAGGAGGATAAGGAAAATAAAAACCATCTTGATATGTATGTTTCACAAAAAAGCTATTTTCATAAAAAAGCTATTTTGAACATAACCATATATTTAATTTAGAAACATATCCGTAATTGTTTAGGAAGCCCTACTCCTGACATTTCACAATGAATACAAATAAAAAATAAAGCCTACAAACATTTACTAAAACATGCTAACAATAAAGCTATAAAGACCTTGAAAATGTCAAGTATTTTTGGTAAACTCCTTGTAGGGTTGGCGGTTTTTTTGTTCACAGACGGAAAAAAATTCATAAGCTTATATGTGCATCCGCACTGCAAATATTTGATTACTCCTTATGGTGTATTCATTAGAAATTTGTTTACCTTTGCTTTAGACATTTCAAACAATAGTTTCCACTGCTTCCCAGACCAAAATATTCCAGAGTCTGCTACAAAAGCCAGAAGGACTTCCTGATCCTCAGCCAAAATTCTCTTTTCTTTACATCATCTCACTACTCCTGATTATACATGTCTTTGTGTATAAACTTCTCTCACGATAAGAATTAGACTCTTTCAAAATACTTGCCACCGGAAATCTGCTTCACTCATCTCCAGCCTGCTTTATAAATAGCTGTCTACTGCCATCCTCATCTTTGTCCCTTGCAATCTTCTACTCCTGAGCTTTTAAATGCCTTCCAGCTGTCAACTGCTTTACGCTAAGGCAGGCTAGAGGTAGCCACTACTAGAGCCATGTGTGAACGGTGTAGTAATTCCAAGGCACTTCTATTACTCTACAGACATCCCTAAAGAAGGAAATCAGACACTGCACTGGTATTGCATGTTAAAGGTCATGTCCTCTCCAAATGCAGATCGAACCAATGGTACTCACTTGCCTCCTAAAAAAAATGGAAAGAATCAAGTGGGATGGGTTTTCCCCCCTTTTACTCCCAAATCTTTGTCATGTCTAATCTGAAATTCAGATACACATGGTCTTTTAAAAATGACATACCTTGCCCTCAAATGACACACAAAATGAGATGCAGGGATAAATGGGGGAAAAAAGCACTACAATTTCATTCTCTCTTCTTACATTAACTTTGTAGACATATAATCCAAACTCATCCTGCATAAATAATTAATAATTATAATAACATAGTAATATTATGTAAGCGCAATAAAGCATAATACATAATAACTCTGGGCACAGAATTTGAAAGTATAGTAGCAAGGTTTTGCCACTTACCTAAAACACACCTGAAAAATTTTGGAATTGTAAAAATTTCTCTCTTTAGAGCCAGAAACAGATATACCTGTAATCTGTGAGTTGTGTTTGCCAAGCAACAGACAAATGTATTTTCTGGCAACTAACACATTTAGAAAACTAATCACGTTCTAATGTAACTCGTTTTGCCTGCAGCTTCTCTCTTTTATACAGTGCAGGGGAACACACTTGCTTGACTTAAAAATAGTTGTAGTCATGTCTTAGTTTTGAAGCTCTTGTAGATATCTCCATTGGTAACTCCCCGTCTCTGCTCCTGCTTCTCGGCTGGGCCATCAGCTGTGAAACATCTCCCTTTCCTAACAACCTCCACTGACCCTGCTGTGTGCTGAAGGGGAACAGGTAACTTCCCTGATAAATTAAGCACCCTCCAGAATGCTCATTTGCCATGTGTTTGCTTTTGGGGGTTGGTTGCTTTTTTTTTTTGGTCTTCGCTACTCTGAGGACAGAAATCTTACTTTTGAGGAGAAAGTAGCAAAGGCAGTTTGTTCTTTTTGGCATGAATGAAGCACAAGCTTTCCCAGTTCCTAAACACAGAGCCTCTCCCTCTAAAGTGAAAGCTGATGATACATCTGTCCTCAAGTGTGTGTTTTCAGAGGCAAGATGATTAAATAGGGGGTTGTTTCTATTGCAAGTTTATGTAGTAGCGCTTACTCATTAACAACAAAAGAAAGAAGTTCCCTTTCTTTCTTAGTGCAGATGATCTGCGTTGCACGCTTTACTGTTAACGCTCTGATGGATATAAACGAACGTTAAATGACAGGCAAGATGAGAAAGGGTTTTGATTTGGAGGAGGTGGATTGTTGTTTTAATTTCTTTTGGCCTGTACATTTAAAACTCAACTGAGTTCATAGATCACCCTAAGTGCTATGTGCGCAGGGTTTAAAAGCTTATTTGTGACTTAAAAGGGCCTTAGCTGTTCACCTTTTCTGCACCATCTTTGCTGTACAATAGAGCTTATGAGTATTGTCTTTTGTTGCCTGTTACACCTTCTTGTTGCCTGTTACAAGAAACAAATAGAGCATTGCTATTACATGATTCCTAATTAGAACTGAAGGATGAAACTCACATGAAAACTTAAGAAAGTAATTTCAATTTTTTGTTTGGATTCTGTAGAAGAAATTGAGAATTTTATGACTATTTGCTCAAAACAGTGTAGACTAGTTTCCATTGCAAATTTTTGCTTCTAAAATAACCCAGGTCAGTTGCCTATGCAACTAGGGTAATGAGAAAAATTACAACAGTTTGGCAATTCTCATGATTTTAACTTGGATGAAGGTCTCCATTAACAATAGAGGCTTAACCAGGAAGGCTTGAACAAAGCTGCTGCTCAAGACAGCAGCTATCTTCTGCTACAGTATATGATTTTAGATTTGTGCTCTGAAAAACACGTTATAGAAATGGCCTGCGTCACAAGGAAGGTAAATGAAAGCAGAAAGTCCTTAACATGTCTGGAAAAAAAAGAAGAATCAAGCCATCTTTCTAGAGATACGCAAGGAGGAACTGCAGGTTCAACGGTCATTGTCCATGTCTGAATATTGTGGCTGACAAATGCAGAACAAAAAAGCATGGCTAATGCAACGACTGCAAAGTACAACACATCGTGGCTTAATGTAATACGTCCTTTGCATTGTACAAGCATGTGTTTCAAAAACATGCGTATGGTGCACTTTTGTGAAATAGAGTTGAGTTACTCCTATTGAAGCAACACGGTGTTTGCCCTTCCAGGGATCCAGCATGCCACAGTACAAGCTGACATACTTCAATCTGCGAGGACGAGCAGAAATCAGCCGCTACCTCTTCGCCTATTCGGGCAAGGAGTATGAAGACCACAGGATAGAAGCAGCAGAGTGGCCCAAAATCAAACCAAGTAAGTAGCACAGGATTTTAGATCCAAAGCTCCACTAGAAATGCTGTGAGAAGTCAAAGCAATTGAGGAGGTAACTGTATGATTCCTGACTAGAAACACATTTAATTCCCTGCTTTAATGAAGCCTACGTGAATTTTATTGCCTAAACAGCCAAAATATCATTCCTGATGTCACAGAAGGATGGATCCAAATCTTCAGACAGTCAGAAATTTCTTACCTTCTGTCATCCAGCTGGGCTTTTACTCCTTAACAATTCTGTTCAGCTTCCATCTGCCTAAAGCTGATCAAATGCATGCTTATCTTTCCAACTTCTTTGGAGAATTTGGTCTCCAAGACCACGTCACAGCCTTCACCCCTGTTTTAGAAAGCCAAAGTGGACATTGTCAAGAAGGACGCTGCTTTGCAACCAGAAATGTCTTCCGAGGGGGAAGTTGATCAGAGAAAACGTAAGACATCAGTTGATACAGTAAAGATAAAATTAGGAAAAAGGATCAGAAGAGGTGTTAGAATATCATTGTTGCTAAGAACTGCCCTTCCGAGAGTACTCTGCAGGTATGGAATGGAATGGAATTCCATGAAATGGAATACTCCATTTCATGTTTTTTAGTTAGAAGTTGCCTCTTTCCAGTTACTAAAGCTATTTGTTATTTCTGTTCATTAAATTAATTTTAGTTCAAATGAAACAGATCTTGAGTTTGGAGACTAGGGATATGAAATCAGAGATAACTGTGTTTTCATTTCATGGATTTGGCTTGTATTTTGCCACAGAAGCTATGACATTATTCACATCCAGAGTGAGCCTTTAATTTGGGCAAAATGCAGGACTAATACACAATGTGATTTCCATTAATCAAGCAATGTTTTATGGTAGGGCTTTCACACCATTTAATAAGCCCTGCCAGCAGGCTATCAAATTCTTGTAGCGTGCAGTTAAATTTGGTCTTTCCCATAATGTTCACGGTGACTTGAACAAATACACTTGACAAACACTCAAGCGGCAGCTGAAGCCCACCTGGGGTGCTCAAATCTAGAAAATGCTGGCTAACAACCCACCGAGAGGAGTGCAAATGAAGCAGTGGAAATGGAAATATTTTCAGTTAGGGCTGTCTGACTTTGGAAACCTTTTCTTTTTAGGAGCTTAAGCCTGTTGACCATGTGATATAGCTTATGTCTCTCCCGCTGCAGTTCTCAGTGAAGCAGGGTGAAAGCAAAAGGCAAGACTGAGAATTCCAAGGAGTAAAGCTCTGCATAAGCCTTTTTCATACCTAACTATGCACATATTCACAGATGCACACACCCACTTACGTCCTGAAACAAGGTTCAGAGAATATTATCAATGTATACTTCTATGAAGTGTTTTGCACACTGATGTTTAGGTAAGACAAATTAAAAAGACAAAGTATAAACAGTGCCTTAAAGGCTGCAGAGACATGCATATCCTGAAAGAAGATGTTCAAACAGTAGATCTATCAATCATTCCTGATGATGTCCCCAACTTCCAAGCCAGCACAAGAAAAAATGCAGAAAAAACCCTCCTATGCTGTTCATCAGTGCTCACATCATGAACTTCCCGGTGAAGCTTTACATGTACTGTACTTGTTCACTACAGTGTATGCCCAGCTGCAACACCATTCCCACCAAAACACTGTGAGCAGAGGCACCCAAGAAATCCTAAGCCATACATTTGGTAGCTGTATCTGCTGCATTAACAAATGCTGGTCAAGTCATTTAACGTTGGGATGTCTTTGTTTCTCTTTCTGTGATGAGATTGTGAGCAGGTTTACCAGGGGTTAAATTAATGTTTTTCACTTTCCCTGCATAATGGCCTTTCATAGCAGCCTCTACTCTGACTTATCCGCAGATGAAATTCCTAAGAAGTTAAGAAGTTTACTAAGACGTGGGAGCTGCTGTGCTCAGATTTGTGAAATCAGCTGTGCAAAATTTATGCTGGCCTAGGAGTTCTTTCAATTTCAGGCTTCTGTAGACAGCATGCTTCCAGTCAGTCAGTGGATGGGAACTAGAATGTATTGTGCTATTTGACCAGGAAAATGTACACCTACAAAGTAATAGTAGGATGCGTGTCTGAAAGTGCCATTACATCATTACCTCTCATATTTTGATGTTAAACTTTTGCCTCTGGAAGGGTCCTTGAATCCTAGCCCAAACACCATTGTAATGATGGCATTTGCCACCAGTGGCATCTTCATTGCAGACAATGTGCAAGTTAAGAGGTTCATCAACTAAAACAAGAGTAAAGGTATCTTATCCCATTTGTACACATAACAACATAGTGCTGCTAAGGAAACTGAGCTCAACTAACTGATGACTACCTCCTCCTCCTCCTTTGTGAAACAATCCTTACTCATGCTATTTCCAGACAAAGTAATCTCCCACAGGCAAATCATTCAGCAAAATGCTAAATAAAAGGGTAATGATGGGGCTTTATTGGAAACAGCCTTACACTGTGCAAGACCAATATCCACTGTCCCAACCTGCCCTAAGGTACCTAAGCACTGGCTTTGCAGGCCAAAACTCAGCACAAGAAATGCGTGCCTCTTGGCTAGGGACTTGCTCGTCTAGGGCTTGTGTGTCTTAACACTATAACAACATTGCATACAGCAGAGATGCACCATTCACCATAAGGAAAACAAATCATTTGCATGCTCTACTATCCTGAATTTTCAAAATGTTCCTCAGCTCCCTCTGTGGAGGCAGGGATTGAAGAGGAAAAAGCACCAGTCCTCAGGAAAGCAGGTAACAGGATCCTTGCCAAAAAGGGTTCGGTTAGTGCCGTGTTCAACAGTAAATACAAAATGAGGGAAACCATCCAGCCCATTGAACATACAAAGGCACAGTTCACTGCTGAGAGATCTTTTACACTACTGTCATTCATATTCGGTATTTAGATCTTCCTTATGAAGCTCAGGATCATTTCACACCCTTTCCCCGCCCTCCCCCCCACCCCATGTTTCCTGGACTGGATCTACCTCAAAAAGAAAAGAAATAAAGTAGCAAATTCCAGTCAGTCTCATCCTGGTAAAAACCAAAGCGTGGTAAGGGTTTAGAAATAAGGGGAATTACAGCTGCATTTGATGTAACAGCAACTAATGTAATAACAGTTTGCTATACCGCTTATTTTGCAACCCTTAAAAATTATTAAAACTGGTCCAATTAATTGAACTAATTACATAATTATATATTGAAGTCGGTTTAAGAAATACTGGACAAATTGCTATGCACACTTGCATACAACATGTTTGCATTTACCCACTTGCCTACGAAAGGTCTGAAACCAGTTCTGATTGCAGAGACTTTAAGTACAACATAAGGTCCCACTTTTTAAAACCAAAGTGTTATGAAGTAAGATAAAGAAAAAAAAAAAAACATAGGAAAGAAGTTTAGACAAGAAGAGCACTTCATGTTTCTTGAACTACGAAGGGAACAAATCAAAAAATTCAGGTTTGTCCAAGTGCACAAGGAGTCGGGTCTCTGCAGAGAGTATAGGTTTGCTTCACCAATTTTCACAAAATTAAAGTAAGGTTTGGCAACAAATATCAAACTCACAGCCAAATCATCACACCACATAAGCCAGAAAATACTGTCATTATTCTGAAGAAAAAGACTTAGTTCTTAGTTCTCCTGTAAAAGTGATGGGAAAATAGAAAATGTGTGCAATCATCTTAATGTGTAGAAAGGCCATTTAGAAAGCAGACTTACACTTGCTGAAAGTTTAATTCTGACCTGGACTGTAGAGTGTGATGGTTTCAGTGGTTTTGGCATTTTTCACATGGACGCCTCCCAGCAAGCCATAATCTTAATGTTTACACCTAAGTGCTGCGCTTTTTTTTTTTTGTACGAGAGGGAGGCATATTATAACAAAAAAACTTACTGCATTTGGTTTATAGACTCCAAAATTAAAATTTCTGTATCTCAATATTTCTTTTTTTCCCTTCTGTTACTAATCTGATCATCTTTGGCAAATTCTCTGGTTGCTGATTTCAGGCGAGGATTGTAGTTTGTAATAGTTTATAATATACATAAGCTTAAGTAAGTTACTGCTTAAGTATTAGCGTTGACTAGCTTTAGCACAGAATTTTAAAAAACAGATGAATATCAAATAAAAGTTTTACACAGTCTCTATATGTCAATAATTATTAAAATATGTAAACAAGCTCATATTTTACCTTTCCTTTTCAACAGACTTTGACTTGACCATGCCACCATTTAACCATAGTCAATTCGATATCTATACAGTATTACATAATATACTCATTCAGAACCTGTATTGCCACATAATAGGCCCCTCACAAAAGGCATCATCACACTGATATTCAGTCGTGACATAGCAGAAAATCCACTGTAATGGTGCACAAAGTTACCATCCCCTTGAGATATTAGGCTAGCGTGCACTAACGGCTTTTGTTCTGTGGCTCATTCAGGGAATTTGAAGCAATGGCAATTATACAGAGATTATCGTCATAACAAAAGATGATTTCATTGCACTGATGGCTGTAGATGTCTCATAAACTATTTAGGAGGGGTGGAATGGTGCTTGAAAGGTCCTCAGGAAACTTGACAGACTAATCATTGCACTGAAAATACTTCTAAGATAATAGATAAAACTTGAAAGGCACCTGACAGCAGGCAAGAATTCCTCCAGGGAGCAGTTGTCCTGTTTCCTGAGTGACTTGCTGCTATGTAGCTCTAGCTAAGATGTGTAAATAGCTATCTTTGGGTAAAAAGTTGGGCTTAGCAGTCATTTCCAAGGAGATTATGAGTTGTAATAGCTACAGCACTGAAGCTGGGCTGAGGTTAGATGAGAACACCCTCCTGGTCATCCCTTCCCTAGAAGATACAGATTCTGGATGACTCCAGCTCCAGGCCAATCACTTCCCAGGGTCCTTGATCCTCTGCCAGCCTTACAAGAAATACATCTTTCATACAGTACTTATTGGAAGATGCAAAGTATCTCATATATTTGTTTCTCATGATCCAGATTA